TAAGGAATAGACGTCGGGGGCTATAAAAAATAAGAGCATAGTGTACAATCTAGTCCATACTAAACGAGATGAAAGATAACAAAGAAGGGTCCACAAGAATTTGAAACCAAACATAAAGCGCATACTTGAATATAGTTGAACGTTTGCCAAAGGCATGATAATAAAAAGAATGTAAATTCTTAATAACAATAATTATTCAATGCTGGAGTAAAATAAGATATTTTGATTTGCCTCATGTACAGAAAATGGCCACACCTACAGGCAAGTCTAGGCTTGGCATTAGCTCCAATGCTTTGGTACTCAATTGTCCCTAAATTAATGGATCGATGATCGGATTTCTGATGAAAAAATGAGTGTCAGAATTTCTACGTGAATTACGAGACCTCTGTAAATATGGTCCTATTGCAAATCCAAAGTTTCGAAATTCAAAAGGTACAGAAAGTATGCCAATGAGCAAGTTAATTTTTTAATTATTATAGCGTGGTTATTAATAAGAGCATTACGATATAAGTATAAAAATAAAGGGAAAAGTTTCTTACCGGTTCGTCAAGGTGTCGCTCAGCTATAAGCCTGGCACCTGTAGCTCTAGAATGCTGGTTCAAATCGAAACAAGACCGATCAGCACAGCCCACGCATTCAATCCATCCATAACTGGTATGGCATTCAGCATCCCAGCAGTCACATGCGTAATGAGCCATCTCATTAGCCATATGTTGGCGGAATCTAAGGCGGTCGGCCTGGATTCCAACCATCAAGAGAAATAAGTGAATCCTGGCAAGAAAATAGCCAAGAGTCTCATTGGCAATTATCCTCTAGAGGCCAGGAGAGGTAGAGTGCAAAACAAAGTGTGATGTACTTTCTAGAGTGATGTAAAAAAAACTAAATAAATAAAAGTTGTTTGATCTTGTTTTTGCAACTGGATCATATTGGTAGGAAGACCTAGAGGAACGCACCTAATCTGAAGTCCATAATATACACGATAATTTCCAGTCGGGCCGTGGACGTGGTACATTCTCAGACGTTTCGTCGGCATCGTCAGTGATTCTTGCCTTTCTTAGCACCACACTACAATTCGTCAGACAAGTGACGCCGATCTTTTGTTCAATTGTCTGCTAAACAATCGTGGTATCTCTCTTTCCACACTGGGATCACCACCAATCCTATATCGTATCACACCTTCCGTACCACCAATTTTATTTGATTAATTAAATGTGGTATCATGTGTCCTTTTGAGCGGATTTCATGAGAACTCTCCACACCTCAAACTGGCTCTCTCACCCCCTCCACCCTTATGTTGGGAATGTTGATCAGCCTGCCATATTGTTACGCAGCCCTCATTCCATAGGTCTTATCAGTCTCCCTCTTGCCCCGTAGGATCCGTCTGCTATCTCCCTGGTTCAAGTATTTCACTCGAACCCTGCCACTTCATCTGCACTACTCAAAGCGTTATTACCCACACTCTGCCTCTGGGAGACTGAATTGAGCAGAGGAGAGGTACCACGAGTGTTTAGCAAACAATTCATTAAGGCAGTGAGCCCCAAACTGTGCGACGCGGCGCAACAAGGAGCCGCGAAATATTGTAAAAGCTTCAATTTGAGAAAATGTGCAGTGATTTTCAGACTCACCCATCACATTAATTATTAAATATTTATTTAATGTTAATATAGTAGACAAAAATAATGAAGATACACGAGTTTTATTTAATTTATCTCTTACGAATACTTATACTTAGGGTAGGGCGCCATGGAAAAATTTTAATCGAAAAAGGGCGCTACGACTTGGAAAAATTAGGGAACCACTGCATTAAAGGATCGGCTTTGCTTGTCTTTTTGACGAATTGTAGT